TGGTATTCAAACTTTTGTATCATTACCGTACCAACATTGATCAATTTGTACGATACTATCAACCAAACATGTTGACTACCAAATATATTGGTTACCAAGTTTCTTGGTTCGGTTGATAACATGTTGTTTTTTCATGGTACAATTTTGTTTGTCCTAATCTAAAATGAATACTTTGCTAAAATAACGATATGTTGGGCATGTTTGGTAAAAATAGTTGGTAGCGGATAGCTACTAGCTCATAGCGTTTTGTTAAACGCTACGTCAAGTAGCATTTGAATTTTGAGTGTTTAGTTTAAATTAAACCTAGAAGCTTGTAGTGTGAAACGAGACTTTCTGTTGAAAATTGAGAGATTTGTCGAAGGCATAATTAAACACTATCGTTGTGTTTTCTTGCGTTTGAAATATCTTAGATTATCTTCTATCTATTTATGTGAAATCGTAACCGCAACGTATATTCCGAATCACTAGGGCAATTTCTAAAAGCTCCTCGGCATTCGCCCTTCACCACCTCTATATGTCTCTGAGTTGCTTCCGTCTACACGCCATTCTGACAATTCGCTACATTTCCCATCGTCTCAATCTCTCTCACTCCAATTCCAGGTATTGCAATCTTCAGTCCACAGAACAAGTCTTGCCTCTTTCATATATGCTACAATGCATGTACAGGAAGTTATATCTACGTTGCTGATTTTATGCTTCTTTTTGCTAATTTTTAGGGTTCGTTGTAGTAAGAGGAACATGAGTCAAGCTGAAATGGTAAAAATGGTTAATGGTTCCAACTGCTGTTCGTCTAAGGTAGTCATCAATGATCCCAAGTTGCTTCATCAGAAAAAAACAGCTATTCGCCTTGCCGGACCCTCGAAATTCCAGGTTTTTTACTCGAAACCCTTTCGATATTTGGGGCTTTTTACTATACTTGTTGCGTTAATCATGAGTTGTCACCAGTTTTCTTGATCTTTATTCTTCTACTGAAATGCTGATGCATGCAAGCCGTTTTTCCCTTCCTAGATTTAATGCTTATTGATCTAACTTTTTGCAATTATTTCATTGTTTAAACTGTAGGTTATTGCAGATTTTGACAACACACTGACAAAGTTTTGGGTTGATGGATTTAAAGGACACTGTATGTTTGTGATTTATTAAAAAATTTGAATGAGTAACACTGTAACACATTCATTATTGTTATTATGTGTTTGCTGTGCAATTAAACTATTGTCTAATTGCAATTGTAGCTAGTCACGCCCTCCTGCAACAGGAGAATCCTGAGTACAATGCAAAGAGAGATGAGTTATTCAACTACTATCATCCTTTAGAATTTGACCCTGAAATTCCAATTGATGAAAAAACAAAGCTCATGGAAGAGTGGTATCTACATTTCCATTTCTAAGTACTTCAAGATAAATATAATAAAATACTAAAGCTAAACCATTCTTTTATAACTCAATGTAGGTGGGGTAAGACCCATAGTCTCCTTATTGAAGGTGGCCTTACATATGATGCAATAAGAAACTCTGTAGCTGGTGCCATGATTGCTTTCAGAGAAGGTGTAGTTGAGCTTTTTGAGTTTTTAGAGGCAAGTTTTGACATTTTCCTTCCCATCTTAGCATCATTTGAAGGGTTTCTTTAATAGTAAAGTAATCTCAATTCTTTTAAATCTGCAGGAGAGAGATGTCCCAATTCTTATATTTTCTGCAGGTCTAGCAGATATTATTGAGGAGGTAAGTTAACCAATTAGCAAAGCTAATATTGAAATATAGAGCTAATGCTTCTAATTTATAACTATGATCATCTCAATTTCATCAGGTTCTTCGTCAGAAACTTCATAGAACTTTCAAAAATGTTAAGATTGTATCAAACCGGATGAAATTTGACGAGAATGGTAACCTAGTTTCTTTTACAGGTATATTCTTGATTCATGGTTTAAATAATAAGATTGGATTGGTTTTGTTTCTTTAAAAGTATGAAACTTTATGGTTGTTTCAGGGAAGTTGATTCATAGTTTAAATAAGAATGAGCATGCTCTTGATATGGCTGCTTCTTTACATGATAACTTGGGTGAAATCGATGAGCATGATGTGATCGATAGTGCCTCTGTGAAAAAGAGAACCAATGTGCTACTTCTTGGTGATCACATGGGAGACTTGAGAATGTCTGATGGTTTGAACTATGAAACCCGCATTTCTGTGGGATTTTTGTAAGTTTTAAAACAAACATGAGTTTGATTTCCATAATTCCACATGTGCACTTTACTTTAAAGTTTGAATGAATATTTTCTTGATTGTATTGTTGACTTTTTGCAGGAATAATAACATTGAGAACTCTCTTGATAACTACCGGAAAGGCTATGACATTGTTTATCTGGTGAGTGTGAATGTTCTGTTTCTTGTGAAAATTGAAATATATTTTTTTTTTCTGGATAGGTTTTTAAAATTAAATATAAATGTTGGTTTGTGCAGGATGATGCACCAATGTCGGGGGTGGTGAAGTTGGTCTCAGAACTATTTTCTTCTGCAAGTGATTAAAGTTATGGCAAAGGATGAGGTAGAAGAAGAAGCATATGGTGTTGTATTTCTGAGATTTTCTCATTATTCTAGCAATCCTTTGACTCTATGATACTTGTTATTATTGCCTTCTTTTAGGAGGATAAGGGGATGTGTAGTTTTCACCCCCTTCTAATCATTGTGGATAAACCGCTTAGCAATTGTATGACAAAATAAAATTATCTAGCTTTTGGGCAATATAGTAGGATTATGGGACAACCTTATCTTGTGTTGCACATGACCTTTTTACAACAACAATGGGGTAATGGGGAGATAATATGTATCCTCCATTTGAGGGTAGAGAGACTGCTCCTATAGATGACCTCAAAGTTCTCGAATGGAGAGCAACCTCTTGAATAGTTAAAATCAATCAATAAACATAATTTTCTTTTAGTTCTTTATTTTATGCAATAAATATTCACCAATTTGATATCAGAGCAGTTCGATTCACCATGAGAACATGTTCAGTGGCTAATTGAATTGTAGAATTAGGAGGTATTAGCTTGTTTCAATCAAAAATCGATTAAAAAAAAAGCAACATGCAGTCGATGATGCAACAACCGTGGAAGGTGGTGTGATTACATGAGGAATCAAATTGGAAATCAGGGGAGCAAATAGAAGTAGACCGGAAAAAGAATTAAATGTCGTACAAGTGTCACTGTCTGATGTTGCTAAAGAGAGAAAATGAAGTATCACTTAATTCGGTGATAAGCTTTAATACTCCAAAAGCAATGAGGATGGAAGGCTTAGTTTGGAGTCAAAAAGTAGTTATAATTGATAGTGGAGCTTCTCATAACTTCATTGGTGAAAGAAACGGGATTAAAAATTTGTGGGACAGCCGATTATAACATTTCCATGGTTGAAAAGGGATAAAGATTTGGCTTCAAGGTATAGAATTCAAAGAGGATATCTTACCTCTTCGGTTGCCCAATTCGGATGTCATTTTTAGGCATTCAATGGTTGGCTTCTTGGCACCAATGGATGTTAATTAGATGTCATTTTAGACATTCAATTGTCGCACAAAAACTCCTGTGGAACCCCTTAACTCTAACCCATCATCCGTTTATGTGGTGGATAACGCCTCCTCCTTTAAAAACTTTCCTTTAGGTGTAGAACTTGCTCATTAATACATATTTCTACTCATGTCATCATTTCGCAACCTGTTGAAGTTGCACTGTAGATATTTCTCTTAACCATGTGATTTGCAACCCCTTTTCTTCCAAGGGAGCCCTCCAAGTATCCAACATAGCATTCAACTCGGTCATAGTCTCTGCTACAAAAACAATGTCATCGGTAACAAACATACACGACACCGGACCTAGATCTCACTAAAAGCCTCGTTTATAATTACAACAAAAATGTATCGGCTAAGAGCAGATCCTTCTCGTAGCCTAATTTCTATTAGCCTAGTATGGTCCTTCTCGTAGCCTTGCCTTTTAGCTTCCAGGACCTAGTATGGTCCAACACCATATGAAGATCCATATTTAATTCTCTATATTCCTCCAGGACCTACCATGAAGCTGAATTGGATTTCAGAGATACAGTTGTTTTTCATTGCAACAAGGCCTCTAGCATACCCTCATCTTTCATGGTTGATTCAAGGAAGTTGGTTCATGGTTTAAATAAGAATGGACATGCTCTCATTATGGTTTTGAAGTTGATGAGCACAATCGATAGCGCCTCTATTGGAAAGAGAATCAATGGGCTACTTCTTGGACTTGGTGACCAATGATCATGCTCTAAACTACGAATATTACATTTTTATAGATTTTTGTAAGTTTACAACAAACATGATTTTTATTCACATCTATAAATATAAATGAATCTTTCCTGGATTGCATTGTGTATCTAGTGAGTGTTAATATTCCGTCCCTTTTAAAAATCGCAATATAGTTTTTTTTTTTTCTCGAGAGATTTCAAGCTGATTTGTACCAAAAGATTGCCTTAAGATATTATTGGAATCACTTCCACAATACTTTTAACTACATCTAATTTTTACTTAGAAAAACAATCCATACTCAAATTCATCAAGATAGAAAGTATGCATAAGCAAACAAACATCAAGGCAGAGAGTGAGTAACTTGGAGTTGATTGTATAACAGATGCAATATTGCAATTCTAAGGCAAAGCCCAAACTAGAAATCCTTTAACAGGGAACAAAAACAACATTCTTAAGTTGCTAGTGGCTTAAGCTTATTATTAGAAACAAGAAACGACAACATGATACCTGTGGTAAAAATTCAATACCCTTGGCTTATGTATTTTCTACATAAAAGAGTACGACAGTGAAATCTACAACAGTAACATATGAATCTAAAACTTCACACTACCAACACTTTGCTCCAAAATTGTGATCTAACTACAACAATACTTCACAATAACAAGACACAAAGAAAATAAAAAAGAAGGTGGTGCATATGCATTACATCAAAACACTGATACCTTTATAAAAAAATGGCCTCATTTCCTCCTGTTCTTGCTTTTAGTAACTCTCACCATCCTTCTTCCAGATTTATCACCACCACCAGACCCTAACGAAAAGCTTCCTCCACCAGCATTGAACTCTACACTAGATGACTGGAAAGGATTCTGAGGCGGCACTTGGTTTGGCTGGCCACCAAACTGGAAAGGAGCCGCCGCTTGTGGTGGGGCCGGGGTGGCTGAACCGAACATGAACCCTGGTGATGCAGCCACAGGAGCCGCCTGACCAAATGGTGAAACAGAAACAGGACTTGGACTAGGAGTTTGCATAGAATCCTCTGCCATGCTGTCTTCCATACTCATCTGATCATTATTATTATTATTATTATTATTATTATTATTATTATTATTATTATTATTATTATTATTCGCAAAAACAGGAGTTGGGTTTCCAAAAACTGTGGAGGGGGTTGTGAAAGACGGCTTGGTGGGACCAGATGTGGTGAATGAAAACATGGAAGATCCTGTTGATGCGGTTGTATTAGATGATGCACCAAATGTGATAGGTGGAGTTGTGGCTGCAGATGATGCCCCTGCCCCGAATGAGAATACGGAAGAGTTTGGGGGTTGCCAAGAAGAACCAAATATGCTAGTGGTGGAGGTGGACCCACTAGTGGAATTACCAGATTTGCCCTCTGAAGAACTAATACCAAAAGCCGGAGCGGAGGATCCAAACAGAGAGCTGCTTGAAGAAAACTGGAAGGGAACAGCCTGAGTAACAGGAGTAGATGTCTGTGTATTTGACTGAGAACCACTGGCGGCAGTAAAGAAAGACCCCTGCGACTGAGCAGTGGTGGTGGAAGTGGTGGCCGGAGAACTGAAACCAAAGAAAGCACCACCATTTGTGGTGGTGGCGGTGGTGGAAGTAGCTGCCGGAGAACTGAAGCCAAAGAGAGTAATGCCACTAGTGGTGGTGGTGGTGGAGGTAGCAGCCGGAGCACTGAAGCCAAAGAGAGCACCACCACTTGTGGTGGTGGTGGTGGAAGTGACTGCCGGAGAACTGAAGCCAAAGAGCGCGCCAGCATTTGTTGTACTGGTGGTGGCGGTGGTGGAAGTAGCTGCCGAAGAACCGAAGCCAAAGAGAGCACTGCCACTAGTGGTGGTGGTGGTGGAAGTAGCAGCCGGAGAACTAAAGCCAAAGAGAGCACCACTTGTGGCGGCGGCGGCGGTGGAAGCGGCTGCCGGAGAACTAAAGCCAAAGGGAGAGCCACCATTTGTTGTAGTGGTGGTGGAAGTAGCTGCCGGAGAACTGAAGCCAAAGAGACCACCACCACTTGGGGTGGTGGTGGTGGCAAAAGGTGAGCTGCTTATGGCAGATTTTGGTTCCTTTTCAATTATAGCGTCGGCCTTCCCAGTTTCTGCCAAAGAAGCCGTTGGTTTAGAAGACCCGAAACTGAAGGTTGGTGGTGGTAAAGATGTAGTAGAGAAGACACTACTAGTGGCTATGGAAGTACTGGCGGGGGTAATATTGGAAGAGCTATTATTGAAAACTGAATTTGCATTTGCATCAGAAGCTGGAAAAGGAGTCGATGAAGAAAATACAGGAGAGCTCAAATCAGGTGTCATGGTGGGAGTGGGACCACTTGAGTCCTTTGCTGCTGAGCTGGCAAATGAGAACATAGCACTTGTTGATGAAGCTGCAGGAATATTTTCCAGCTTTTGATCATTTCCATTTTCATCCTTGTTGGTGACCTTAACTTGATCATTCTTTGTGTCTAGATTAAATACACTGCAGAAATATATATTTTCCAACTTCAGTTTCAGTAATAAGCAGAGAGCAAAAAAAAAAGTAAATAAAAGAATCTTCTTACCTGGTAGAATCAGGTGCTTTTGGTTTGGATTCTGAAAGCTCGCTACCAGAAAACTGAAATGGTGACACCTTTTCAGTAGGGGTAACCTTGTCTTTTTGTGTGGTGAAAGTTGATGGAGGTGAGGTTGGGAATTTAAATCCTGTTTCTTGCTCAATAACATTCCCACCAAGAAATCCATCAGTTTTTGGAAATGGTGTGGCTTTTTCAGATTCTTTCAACTTGACTTTCTCTGAAGATTTTGCAACCGGAGTTACTTCAGCCACCACCGGAGTTGCTTCGACCGGTGCCGGAGTTTTGAAGACTTCCGGCGGTGTTGGAGGTTCAATGATGTCAGCAGAAGCAGGTTTGTTTGCTACTAAGCTTGTCTCTGGTTTATTGTATTCAACAACAGGTGGAATGGGCACATGCCCATTAACATGGATGTCATCACCATCATCATCATCATCTAGCTCCCATGTATCCTTCATGAGACAAACACAAGTCAATATAGCTGCTGAAATATAACCAAAAATAGCAACAAAACAATAAATAAACACGACATACCTCAGGAGCACTCATCTGAAAAGCACGCCTCTTTTGAGGAGGTTCAGGTGGAAGAATTGAAGTTGAATCATCAACTGTAACAATCTGTGAACTTTCTTTTATAGAAACTCCCAAATCACCATTAACAGGTGTCAACATGTTAAAAGGAACAGGGAACTTTCTTTCACCGTTTTCTTCAACTTTTTCTTTGCCTCGAGAGGTTGACTTACTAGTTGACTCATGCTGAAACTCTGATTTCTGAGTGTTATGAGAGGTCGGGAGAAATTTAGGTGAATCCACTTTCTCCAAGCTTCTAAGAGCCTGACCATGGAGCATATTTGATGTCAGTTTAGTGGGCGATTTTGGAGTCAATCTTTCAAGTTGCTGGAATATTTTTGTAGCTGTTTGAGTTGACTTTGCTGGAACAGATCCATGGATAGTGGTGTCCCCATTTTCTTCAGGTTTGTTCTCTAAAAGCATTGGTTGTTGAAAAGTAGTGTATCCAAGTTCTCTTTTTTCTCTTGACTGTAATAAAAGATTAGGTTTTTGTCGAGTTCTACGCAGTGGGCCCCCAGATCCAAAATCATCATCTAGAACAGAACTCCTACGTTTTAGAGACTGAGAAGATGTTGACATGATTTCCTGGAAATTATGTAAGAAGATAAAAGATTCTACTTCAGTAAAAAGAAAAACTAAGGAGTAAGTTTGATAGATGTAAGTCAATTAGGCAAATGCAAACCTTTTGGTTAAAATTTAAAGGACTTTTGGTATTATATGGTGTCCTAGCCATGCTGTACATTGCTGACCTGCCTCTTGATCTTGGTGTCAAGAAACCATTTTCAAGACCTTTGAAATTGTTTGCAGTTTTTGGAGTAATTGATGTTTTTTGAAGGCTTGTTGTGGTGTTATGGCTGGTTAATCCAAGTGGCGATGGTGCTAACTTTGTAGGCCTGGATCCCATGTAAGACTTTGCCACCTCAGCAGGTGAAGGAGTCTCCTCTTCAAGAACCTGAAGATAATATAATAATATATTATAGATAAAAATCACACACAGAAAAAGAGACAAGCATGAAAACATTACTCACTTTTGAACTGACAAAGGGAGTTGAAATAGCAGCATAGAAGTTATCCCTGTTGTCTCCGTGTTTTTTCATTGAGCCACTTGTTGATGCTTCAAGCCTTAAAAGAGGAGAAGGCGAACTATGAGGCTTTGCTCCATTTATGTCTACAACATTATCAGGTGACTCGGTGGTTCTTGAATGCAACAATGTTGTCAAGTGCTGGATTTCAGATCTGTAGCAGTATGTAACATCAGTGTGCCATTTTTGTTCATTTAACAATATGGAATAACTTTCTTCTTCTTTTTTGATTTTTGACTTTGAAAGAGAATGTTGCAAATTCAATCAAGAGTCCAAAATGGAAAATTTTAGAATTCTTATGCAACCAAGAAAGTTGATTCCCATGCAACAAAAAGTAATTTATGCAAAATTCAAAACACCGAGTATTTTCCCTCTACTTCAAACATGATGAGAGACAGAAATCAACAGATAATGAAATTAAAGGAAAACAGGAAGAATTAGGGAAGAAGAAGATGATATCATTGAATCTAATGAAATGAATTACAAACTGTGATATTGAATGAAGTAATAACCTCAAACAATCCCAGGGAATCTCCCTCTCTCTAGCTAAATGCTAAGAGTCGATAATCTTTCCACAATACTAATCGATACCCTGAAATGAAATGCATCCTCTCTCTTTATTCTTCTCTTTCTCCTAACTAACTCATTAGCCACTTTCCAGATTTGCCCCTGTGGTCCTTCTAAAAGACCCTTGCCATATCATTGTGTTGTTTGTGTGTTTGCTTTAGTAATTCTAATATCTTATCAAAACACACAAAAGTACAACCTTGAAATTGCATGAGATATGATTACAACGAAATATTTTACCTTAAAAGCAAGTTTTTGGTTAGAGTGGAAATCAAAGCAACCTCTCCATAAATGCCGTGAAATCATATTGCAGCTTATTGACAAATGAGCATACCCCAATATGTAATATGATGTAAAGATAAAAAGTTACCACTAAAGCGTAAATAATAGCAATGTAGGATTGTACTAAGAGAAAGACCAACCTAGTAAAGGTTTTTTGTTTCAACATTTGCTCAAGCTCTGATATCCCAGTGGCAGCAGAATTCATGTCTTGATCAGTGCTAGCTTTTGATACTCCAATAGAATTCTTCAGTTCAAGAAATCAAAAGTGCATTGGGGTTACAAAAGTTTCAAACAAAATGGTTGGATAAAGCATTAAGACAATGACATAAGAGATTGTGTAGTTCATTATTTCAAGTAAAGGGCATCTGAATTTGACTCTTAAGAGAAAGCAGCTCAGATTAGAAACAATATACAGGAATCAGGACAAAACCAGCAACATAAGTCATGAAGAAATAGTGAAATACGATACAACCCAACAAAAAAAATGTATTATTTTGCTTTCTGACTAATATTTGCAAAATTCAAGAAAGTTCTTGATTTAAATGTAATATGTGAAAGCTAAAGGAAGTTTTGAACCTTAGACTTGAGCAAAAATTTAAGATGGTATTAGTACAGTTATTGACACCAGCATACCACATGTGAAGCACACAGATAAAGAACTTACATTTCTCCCTACATCCTGAGAAACATTTTGTGGTTCTTCACTAATCCCTGTCAACATAAGAATTTTTGTAAGGAACATGTACCTCATAAAGTAGAATTTCTCTGTAGCTGAACTCTTAAAGTTTAAGATTTCAAATTCACACATGCACAACAGTTATCTTTTCCACATGAGGGCAAAAAATTGAAATGTTCAAGAATATTTATTCCATCCATATGACAAGCATTTTAATCCGAGCAACACAAAAACGGTTTCTCACCTATGTGCATATGACCATGAGGAGTTTACTCTCCCATAGATACGACTCACAATTCTAAGCTAGGTGTCATCCTTTCCATTTACTATTGAGCTAGTACAAATACATGAGATCATGAGCTCAGTCTCCAAAATATAAATGTCATATTTGCTTGTTTCAAGCATCATGACTCTCTTTCACTGATGAACTCGTAAACATGCTTTGGAAGCAAAGTTCCATGACTACTGCCTAATTTAGAGTTCCAACCTAAAGCTCTTAGATATCTCAATTCACATAATTTGAATGACTGTAAGACCTCGTGAAATCGGAACTGCATATTCATAGGAAACCAAGAAATTTTAGAGTTGTCATTCAAAGATTTCAATTATACATTTACATATGACTAAAATATTGCATATTCATGATGTCATTTCAACTTCATAATAGTTAAACTCAGGGAAAGTCATATTTCCTCAGCATTGAAAACCCAATGTTGCACATAAATAATGCCTAGCCTATATCAAGTTTTTGTACATAAAGACTTATAAACTACACATCCACACTAATGAGAAACATTGGACAAAATTCACTGTCATGATAATATATCCTTTTATAACCCCAAAAAGTCTCAACCTAAAGACTCAATTTTCTCAAGGTACAAATTAAATGAGTAAAAACTATCAATAAACCCTAATTTGACTGACTATGAATAGATAAGTGGCTTTCTGCAGCCATATTGAAGAAAAGCTTAGGCAGTTGAAACATGCAGCAAAAAGAATTTGGCCAACAGAAACCAAGCATTTCTGAAAGATAAGACCAACGGTGTAACAAGAGATAAGCATCTTTCAACCGCTAAATTAAAACCCCCGAGCAATTCAAAAATGCAGAAACAAGATTTCAACAAGAAAAAACTAAATAATAATTGCAATACCTGTGATGTCGTAAAATGAATGCCTTTTTACAGCCAAAGGAAAAAACTAATCAAATGAAAAAGAACGCAGCAATCATCCAATAGAAAACAGAAAAACCTAATACATAGCACACCAATTTTGATACCCTACAATAGCCATAAGAAATAGCATTTGGATACAGCCAAATAAACCCTAATTAAGCTGACACAGGCAAGAAATGATTAAAATTTTATTCGAATGAGAGAAAAAGCGTTGAACCTGGCAGCCCTTGTAAAGATAGGGGAGGAAGACGCTTGCGGAAAACACCGAAGAGCTTATGAACCCCGGCATAGATGAGTCTGGAAGCAGGGTCCACAAGCTTCGTAAATAGGCCAGGATTGTTGTTCCTGAGTGCCGTAGGAGGTCTATCATAAGGCGTCGCCGGAGTACTACGCCGGTAAGGCCTCTTACGGAACTTTCCTCCGGCTCCGCTGCTTTCGTAGGGAGCCCTTCCGTCGCCCGCCGTCGCCATAGGAGAGGCTGTAGCTGTTGAAGAGATTAATTGCGTAGAGGTTGAGAGAGAAAAGAGAAAGAGAATGAAGTTGAAATTAGGGTTTTTATTCGTGCACAAATGAGGCTTATGATTTATTAAATTTTTTTTAGACAAAATGACAGGCCCCGCTTGGCAAATGTACTAGCTTGGTCAATATAAGAAATTTATTACAAATATAATCCATAAGTTTGAAAAACCTTGTAAGAATAGTCCTTATGGTATTCTTCATTTACAAATAAATTCTTACTATTTTTTTTTCTTTTTAATGGTTATAACTAAATAAAAGAAAATAGCCCCTCTTTCTTTCTCTTTCTTTTAATTGTTGTAATTAAATAAAAGAAAATGGGTTTATTTATTCTCTCTCTCTCTCTCTCTCTATATATATATATATATATATATATATATATATATATATATATATAATGTGTTTGGACTAATCTTCATGAGAAATCATTTGAAGAGTTGAAGAAAAAATTATATGTGTAACCCATTCTCGCATTACTATAAGGAACAAAAGATTTTGCAGTGTACAATGATGCATCTAGTATTGGTTTGGGCTGTGACCTTACCCAAAAGGGTAAAATGATAGCTTATGCATTTGTGTAGTTAACGGTGAATGAACTGAACTATCATACTCATGAACTAGAACTAGAATTTGTAATTCATGCTTTGAAGATATGGAGACGCTACTTGTATGGAAAAAAATGTAAGTTGTACACAACTCATAAGATTTTGCAATATTTGTTTAGTCGGAAAGACTTAAACATGAGACAAAGATTGTGGCTAGAATTGTTCAAGGATTATGCGTGCAAGATTGCTTACCATCCCGGTGTAGCAAATATAATAGCACATGCCTTGAGTAGGAAGAAAATTGGAGAAATAAGATGTATGAAAGCTTTAAGGAATTGAGTGATATATTCGATTATGGAAGTATCGAAAGAAGCCTAATTAACTGCAACAAAGAAAGAGAATGTGAAAAAGGAAAAATTAGGAAGATCAATAATTTTTGAGCAAAATTCAGATGGAGTGAAAACCATTCAAGGACGATTTTGTGGGTGCCCATGTTTGGGAGTGTAAGGAAGATGTTGCTTGACGAAGTTCATAAAGCAAAGTATTTAGTGCATCCTGGAAGCACTAAAATGTACTTTGGATTTAAAGACATTTTATTGGCGGCTAATAATAAAGATTGATATAGAAAAGTACATTAGTGGTAGTTTGACTTGTTCTTTAGTCAAATCGATCGCTAACACCATTATGGTGATTTAGAGCTACTTGATGTATCACAATGGGAGTGAGACAAAATCAACATAGATTTTGTAACAAAACTGGCAAATACTAAGAAGGGTTATGACATGATTTGTGTGGTCGTGGACAAATTAACCAAGAGTGCACTTTTCCTCGCAACAAGAGAAATGTGTCCATGGAAAAGTTTACAAAGTTATATGTGAAAGATATGGTGAGGAGGCATGACATCTCATTATGTATTGGGGTTGATATAGACAGTTCTTTCACCTCACATTTTTCCAGAGCATGCAAGAAGAATTACAAATCTAAGTCTGAGTACTACTTACCATCCTCAACACAGATGGTTAAAGTGAAAGGATAATTCAAACTTAGAAGATGTGTTGGGAGCTTGTGTGTTAGAGTTTTCATGCACTTTGGACTGAGCATCTTCATTTGATTGAATTTTCTTACCACTATCATTTGATAATTAAAACGACACCATATTTGGCATTGTATAGACAGAGGTGCATATCACCGTCTTGTTGGTTACAAGCAGGTGAGAAAACATTTATGGGGCCAAGTCTAATTCATGAAACAACTTAGAAGGTAAAAGATGTAAACCTTTAGAACCGTCTGATGACATTTAGAGTAGGTGATCAAGTGTCGTTGAAAGTGTCACCATGGGAAGATGGATTCATTTTGGGAAGAGAATAAAGCTTAATCCTAGATATATCATGGTATTTAATATTTTAGAGTGGATTAGAAAACAAGTTTATAGAATATAGTTACCTCAAGAGTTTAATGTGATTTATAATGTATTGTCATGTGTGTTATTTGAGGAAGTAGTTGGTGGAAAATGTAGAATTTTTTCCATTGAATGTTTTGGAGCGGATTGGAAAACAAACATATAGATTGGAGTTACCGAAAGAGTTTAATGTGATTTATAATGTATTTCATGTGTGCTACTTGAGGAAGTGGTCGGTGGAAATGTAAAATTTTGCCATTATAAGAAGTTCGTATGGATGAGAACAAACGCCTTATTGAAGAACCAGAAGAGATTATTGACTGAAAAGTCAAGAAATTAAGAAGAAAGATAATTAATTTGGTTATTGTGAAGTAAAAGTGGTTAATATGGCCCAACCTTACATGAGAGACAGAGTGAGAGATGAAAAGAAGATCTCGCTGCTCTTTTGGATACAACAATTTTGATGACGGGATCGTCCTAAGGGGAGTGTAGTTGTAACATCATGTTTTTGGAGCAAATTAAAGTTTTTGATAAATAATAAATTAAATAATAATAAAAATAATAAATAATAATTTTATTAGCTAAATAATAATCTTGTTGAATCTTCTACTATGGAAAGCTTATTCGAAATACAAACAAGAAAAAGAAAAATAGACACGAGGAACGAGAAGTGATAATTAGGTCAACTTGTCATAACTAGTTTCAAGGACCTAAATTGTTAAAGTAATGATGGAGTGGGAAAAAATCCGTAGCTTTGAAACTTCACTTAAATGACTTAGCGTAACGTGTATATTTTGAGAAATAAGAAACTTGGGAGACCACTCTTGCATATAGTAAAAAACATAAATATCTAGTTAAGTGTTAGCGCCAATTTGAAAGACCTAAATCGTGACTTAACTTGGGAGAGCTTTCAATTGTGATTTCAAGAACTTAGAGAGAGATTTGAGATTAATGTTTAAATACTTAGATTACCTTAAATAACATGTACTCTTTTTTATCAAGTTGAAACATCTCAAAAATGACAACCAATTTAAACTTTTCAAATCAACCCACTTACTAATAAAAGTGTTTACAAAACCATGGTTTTCAAAACATTGTTTAAGACAGAGTCTCCCAAGATCAACAACATAAAAATCAAGATGTATACAGTCACGCCTTTGCCTCCCCATGATCCTCGAAAGCACCTGAAACCATAATCAAAAACTGTAAGTCAACGCGTAGTGAGTTCCCCCCAAAGTATAACCACACAAAACACATATCATAAACGAACAAGCATGTTGGGTCCAATCAGTCATCGGACTGGAATACCCACGGGTCCACAATCATCGGACCGGATTACACCCCTCGCACAATCAATCATCGGACTGGAATGCCAATATAAAACGGACCCACTCAGTCATTGGACTGGAATACCCTCGGGTCCACCCAGTCATCGGACTGGAATACCCCCAGTCCATTGACTCACGCACATAGCAGTAAAGTCTCAACCTAACACAATATGTCGACATATAATATATAACAAACATAATCAACGGACACATAATCATGCAGCCAGAAATCACAGGTAACCCTATAGATCTACCGGTCTATGCATATCAACAACTATCATATGATCATACAGATCTATCCCATACTCAACATATCATAAATCAATGTATAATAGAATATCAATCCAATGGGACGGCCTTGGTGCCTTCGACCCATAAGTATAGTAAGGAAATCTCACCTCACAATCTGACGAATAGCTGATCAATACTCTGCTCCCAAGTATCGGCTCAACCCAAATCCTAAATGTCAAAACATTACCATTAATAATATTTTCGTCGAAATACCCTTGGTCAAACCTGGTCAACGGTCAGAAGTCAAATCAACACCTAGCCGAGTCAACCCAGCCGAGCCAACCCGACCGAGTCGACCCAGCCGAGTATGTTGGGCGTACTCTTCTGTACGTGGGGCATACTCGGTGTATGACCAGTTTACGTGACGCTGATCGCGTACGTGCAATGTACCACTTGTTACGCCCAGCGTACGAGCCCTATTCAACCCTTTCCCCATTAAGAGCTTAATACTCCAAATCTTCACGTCCAAAATCAGATCCAAAGCCAAAATACCCTCTAGAGTCATAACGTTTCCAACTTTATGACTTTGCATGTCCATTAAGTGCTTAAAACACAAAATCTCAACATCTTAATGCATTAAGACATTCTATAGCATCCATGGAGCAAAACTAACCATCATGACCACATTTTTATGACCTAAGACCCCTCATAAGGTATGAAAGGACGACTTATTGGGTCAAGAACATGTCATGCTCAAGAATCACCATATTTGGGACAAAAAGTGTCTTGTAGGAAGAAATGTCTAGATCTACAAGATGGAGTGATCAAGTTGTGAACTTTATACCTCCTGGAGGCTGCTAACAAGAAGGAAGTCTCAGATCCAAGATGATTCCAAGCTCCAAGCTCTTCTCACCACCTTCTTCTTCTTCTTCAAGAACACCTCCAAAACACTCCAATGGATCAAAATGCACTCTTCTCACTTAGGGTTTACTTGGGGTCGTTTTTCACAGAGGGAGGTTGATGAATAAATGAGACATGAGGCTATAATGGGGTTTATATATGGACCAAACCCTAAAAGTTAGGGTTTGCACTTTCTTCACGTTCGTCCCGCGTACTAGGGCTCGCCCTAGTACGCCTAGCGTACACAACATACGCTCAGCGTACTACACCTGGACAAAGTTACCATATTGCCGCTATGGGCCATTTTGCAACCCATTTCAATCCCAAGGGCTAAAATAAACATTATTCAAACATAGGGTTGAAATTGAAATTACCTTGACATCAGGATGTTACAATTCTCCCCCACTTGAACTAGACTTTGTCCTCGAATTCGGCCGTCGCGAATAACTCAGGATAATGCTCCCGTATCTCAGCCTCCGACTCCCATGTCCACTCGGAGCCTCTCCGATGTTACCACTGAACCTTAACAAAGGTATATCCTTGTTATGCAGGACCTTCATCTTTCTCTCCAATATAGCCACCGGCCTCTGAATATAATTCATGCACTCATCGACCTAAATATCATCCAAAGAGACCACTGCCTCATTGTCCAACAC